ATTGTTATTCTTTATAATTTAAAGTTTTATCACCATGAGACGTTCTTTATGGCTTTAAAAACTTGTCTGAACTATATTGCGACCTGATATCATAAACGATACTGTAATGAACGAAAACACAGATGGGGCAACCGGATTGTATTTAACAAAAAAATTACAGAGTTACTCAGTAAAATAGGAAAACCATATCGTAAATTGTTCATTTGCAAAATATCAGTTCATCATATCGAACTGGACTGTTCCTGTTGCAAACAACATCAATCCATTGTCACTATTCATGCGTTTCATACAAATTCCATTGTATTCTAACTCATCCTTTCTTGATCTTCCCCCATCATCTGCTGCTAGACATTACGTTTACACTCACGTCATATACTACTTATTAGTAGCTCGCACCACAGTACCATAGACGAAGATTTTCTGAGCTCTATGGCATTGTGTTGGCAGTTGAACAACAACTATACGATGTTCGTTTGTTTTTCATGAATCATGATCTCTTGACAAACTTTCTCTAATATATTTTGCATCATAGTTTAAACATTTTATTATATTGACACAATTAAATTGTAAATTCGTAACTAAATACACTAAAATTATAAATGTTCTATGTAAATGATCCCAACTGTTACACAACACACCCACTATTCGCTCCATTACAAAAAACGAACAGATTAGAGCACCTGAAGTATCATAGCAGTTGAAACACCAATTCCATCATATTCAATGACAGACTTCATCAGATCGTTAACCATCGTTATTTTAACCAGGATTAAATATCAACTTTTATTCCTGAGTAAATTTATCGAATTGAGTTTACAAAATTATCAGTATAGTACAGTACAGTAACAGTGATATCTGTACGATGGAATTAATGGGAATAGATCAACATAACTTGATGTTCGGTTCGTCATTAGGTACGCTTGAAGATATTACGAGTTCACCTTAGTCGATAAACGCGAACGATACAATGAACTAGCGTCTAGGTAGGCTACCTTAATCCGAAAACGGCAAAACAGAAGTCTTGATAAGCATAGAAAGTATATTCTACAAACGCCCAGCAAGCACAATACAATCAAGCACACACAAATCTCGTTTATTTATGTATCATAGAAACGTCCTTGAGACAGTCACAAAAATAGCACACTAAAATAACACAGCAGCCAATCACAGCCAAGGATTTTCCTGGTGGGAAATGAAATCCCAAGGTCAGCTGATCAGTCCATGCTCGCAAACGTGAAATCCAATATTAAGGCATTTAACAAGCGAGTTCTGGGGATCTAGCATCACCAACACTTAACCACAGATAAATGAAAATAATTTAATATAAGACTTTTGCCTTAAGACAGGATTAAAAAGGCAAAATCAAGTCGATACGGAGAAAGATCGGTATGATGCCGCAACTATGTGTGTCTACACAGTAAGCCACTGATTAATTCAAGTTAACATTTACTCAGTTCAAATTATACAAATCTGAGTGTTAATTTAACTCTAACTAGGTCATATAAATTGTAGTGTTTTCAGATATCGATTTAATTTATTTCCGGGGTCAAATAAATCCTTGTCAACTAGTCTTTGATTTTTTTTTAATACGTGCCGTCGGATTAAGAATTTCACTATGAAACTAGTTAAACATTCCAAAATAATAAGAAATCAGTTAGAAATCGTTGGATAAAAAATTTCATAGCATTCTAACTAATCTAGTGGTTATGCGGTGAAATTTACTTTATCTTTCTAAATAAAACTATCAGTATAAAAATGTGAAAACCTTCATACACAAAATAACACATTATTCTAATGATTTTGTATTTAGTTGTTTTCGACTAATGCCAACTACTTGTACACATATATATTGGTCGGTCATCTAGTTTAATCTAGTAAGACTTTGTTATAATTCTCTCTTTATTATACAACCGAGCTAGTCCTAATGCTTAGTATTCTCGGACACCATTTCACTCGAGACGTTCTCCTAAAGTCAGAATACTGTTGAATAGGAAATAGATTAAATTCCAATAACAAGCTCAGATAGAAGACAGGAGGTACAAAGGAAAAAGGCGTTAGTATATTTATAGTTTTCTTACATGAGAAGATTCTAGAATGTTGCCTTAGTATCGGCTAGCGCTGAGTGGATAAGAAAGAACCAATCAGCGTGCAACACAACACAATCATGCTGTAATCCAATCTTTGTCCCACTAACACACTTACATTCAATAATGATCGATTGAGATTCATCGTATAGTTGTCTGTGAGCGGCAATATGAATAATGAGCCAATAGATAACTTAAAAAAACAATCTTTGATTGAAATAATTTCAATGAAAAATTAATCAAAGATTTAAAAAGAATCTTGAATGAAGGATAAAATACTAATCAGAACAATCTGATACTGAAGCTAGCTAATGAAAAGATGACTAGATAGAATTAAGTATAGTTTGCATAAAGCACATTACCAAACATATTTTATTGTTGGAGATGTTAGATCCCCAGAACTCGCTTGATAAATGCCTTAGCTTTGGATTTCACGTTTGCCAGCATGGGCTGATCAGTTGACCTTGAGATTTCATTTCCCACCAGGAAAATCCATGGCTGTGATTGGCTGCTGTGTATTTTAGTGTGCTATTTTTTGTGACTGTCCCAAGGACGTTTCTATGATGTATAAATAAACGGGAGTTGTGTGCTTGATTGTATTTTGCTCGCTGGGTGTTTGTAAAATGTACTTTCTACGCTTACCAAGACTTCTATCTTCAGCTCGGGATTCAAGGTAGCCTATCTGGACGCTGGTTCATTATCACGTTCGCGTTTATCAACAAAGGCGAACCTGTAATAGCTTTAAGCGTACCTAGTGACGAACCCTACAATTATTATCAACAATAACCAAGTAAACAGAATCATAATTGACCTAAAGAACAATGATTTCACTAATATGATAAACATGGTTATCACCATTGTCAACAAAAACACAGATGACGAAGTTTCTTGTTATCGCTTCAAAAAACATCTCCAATTATCAGTACGAACGTTTTTGAAATTTATTGAAATCACAATTAAACACTGATCAAGAGGCTGGTTCAACTTCAGTTATCTTGTAACAATCACTCGACCATCTCTGATTTTCTGCGGCCAGTATTGACATGGCTGAACTCCGCTGGTCACTTTATAACTCCAGAAACTTGCGGAGGAAGCTAGTTTTTAGTAGGCACGTGATAAGTGTCAGTATAGGGATTGTGAAGATCGTTGAAATCTATTGAAGATAACTTGTCGATATCACGAACCGATTAAGGTTAGACTTGTACACCATTGGTCTAAATGTTAAGCAATCGTGACGCCAACGGTTTTGAATTCGTACTGTTAATGAATCTCATTGTAGGATGAAACAGTTGTTCAGTGCTTTTTAGTTTTCAAAAGCTATCTAACTTAGATTAGTTCGTGATCTCAACAAAATTTTTCACATTTAGAATAAAAACAACTATATCGTTAAAGCTAACATTTCAATCTCATTAAATGATAATAACCTACACTAACATACAAAAAGATTAGTTCGTCATATTCAAAAATTGTTAGCTGAATTTACACTGAAAAACTCAGAATAATACCAAGTCACAAGACTAAGAACCTATAATGATCATCAACTTTTTCCAATAAGTATGAAAACTTCGTGATAGAAACGTTTATGAACTAATACCTTATAAGAATCGAATTTAATACCGATTCACTAGATGATAAATCAATCAACTAATTAGGTCCCTCAAAACCTACTTCCAATCCCAATTACGCCTGCTACACCCAGTGGAGTGTATAGGCTGCCGGCCAGCATTCTACAACCCTACTCTGTCCTGAACTTTTCATTTCCAGTTCTAGCATATTAGTGTTCATTCTTCTCATATCTGTCTTCAATACTCGGCAAAATATGTTCTTTGGTCTAGCTTCATGAGGAAATTCTCGAAGTTCTAGCGAGAAGACGTGACCAATGGAGTTCAACCCTGTCGGGTGTAGGCAGTCACCTACCAAAGACAAATGGGTGAGGTCGAGCAAAATCCGCAGATCAATCAGAGTTAGACATTGACACCGTTAGATACCGGCTCAGTGGTCCGATGGTTAGGCATTCGCGCACAATACAGAAGGTCCCGGGTTCGAATCCTGCGAGGTGCAGTAGGAGTCATGGATGCTCACTGCCACTGATGAGTCCCATTCCAGGACGAAACGGTCCGTCCAGTGCTTCCAGGTTTCTAATGGTGGCAGTCTAACAATGATTGATTGATTGATGATTTCGAAAATGTGTAAAAAACACAAAACCTCCAAAACTCTGCCTGAAAATAACCATTTAAAGAACAAACAAAATAAACAAGAATACTACTAGTAGAAAAAAAAAACGACGTTTTATCTTTCTCACACAATTGCACGTACAGTTATAGGTGGTATCCATATTATTGTCATAAACAATCAAGATCAATTGAAAATAATTCAATAACATGCAACTAGAAAAATGAATCACAATTAGACAAATGTGAAATTTTCCTATGACAAAAGAAAAAAAAATATTCATATTTTATATGACTTGATAAATGATTGGTCCTATTGTTCTAGAATAATTATCTAATGATCATTTCAAAAACTGATCGTTATTGCAATTATATAACGAAAGAAAGAAACAAAGAAGGTAAAAGATATAAATAAAAAAAAAAGAATGAAGCCGTAAAAAAAGAAATCCCAAAATGAACTATGCAGTAAAGTAAGCAAGTAAGTTAGTTAGTTAGTAAGTAAGTAAGTAAGTAAGTAAGTGAGTAATTAAGTTAGTAAGTAAGTAAGTTAGTTAGTAAGTAAGTAAGTAAGTTAGTTAATTAGTAAGTAAGTAAGTTAGTTAGTTAGTTAGTAAGTAAGTAAGTGCATAAGTAAGTAAGTAAGTTTGTATGTGCATAAGTGCATAAGTGAGTAAGTAAGTTTGTATGTGCATAAGTGCATAAGTGAGTAAGTAAGTAAGTGCATAAGTAAGTAAGTAAGTTAGTTAGTTAGTAAGTAAGTAAGTAATTAAGTAAGTAAGTAAAGTACATACACAGTTACAAATGGCGCATTAAAAAAAATCATACAACAATGAAGGAATGTTGTTTGTTGACTACTTTATTAGCATTATTATCATTAATTACTACTACTGAAGGAGGAGGAGGAGGAGGAGGAGGAGAAGAACACGATTGAATTCATTTTTGTTTCAATTAAAATTTGATAATAATAAAAAAAAAAAAGAAGGGAGAGAAAATAAAAATTCAACAAAACATAATGACCAGTTAGTTGATGTAGCAGCTTACAGACCACCGGCACGTTGACCACTTGTATCACCTAGAATATGTTTAATATATAAACGATTTAATTGTTCTAAAAAGATAAATGTTAATACTGTATGCGGTCCAATACGTAAGAAATATGGTGTAAAACCTTTCCATAATGATGGTATACCTTCATTGCGTATTACACGTAAAATCACATCCTTTAAAAAAAAATACAAAAAAGAATTGAGTGAATATGTTAAAATGATTAAAAACATATTTTGATCAAATCTACAACATATATATTAGCATGATAAAGTGAAAATGAACAAGACTATACACGAGAGTGGTAGATGTGTGGTGCGCGCTACTTATAAGTAGTATATGACGCGAGTGTAAACGTAATGTCTGGCGGCAGCAGAAGATGGGGGAAGATCAAGAGAAAGGAAGAAGAGCGGGAACACAATGGAATTTGTATGAAATGCATGAATAGTGAGTGAAATGTCAGACAATGGATTGATGATTGTTGATTGAAGATTTACAAATTAACCGTTTATGATATGGTTTTCTTATTTTACTAAGTAACTCTGTAAGTTGAGATAAATACAATTTGGTTGCCCTCACCTATGTTCTCCTTCACTACAGATGTAGTTAACAGCAAACAGTAAGTAGTGGTAGAAAGTATTTAGTTTGGACGATATCTTTCGAAAAGTATAAATTTGCTGAATAAAGCGTGAGGTGATTTTGAAAACTCAAGATCTCAGAGATAACAAAAGGTGATCAAGTTTGCACCATTACGACTGACCTACAAATAGTGTACTAGACCGTACCTACTCTACCTACAAAGCTTAGATTAATAGTTTGTGACTTTTTGGACTAACGCCGCATCTTTGTTTCTTTTATATACATGAATCGGGATACAATGAGAAATATATATGAGGATTTTTTGTTAATAACTCAACAATCCTCAGCAGAAATGTGATGTACTCTGGAAAATATATCTATGAATGTCCTTTGTATGAAGATGTTTATAGTAGTATAAGTAGGATACTAAAAAATAAATTGTAGGATAACAGAAAATATTTACTGTTTTGTTGATTATATCCATTTTGTAAACAGTGATATTTGATTTTAGTTTTTTACATTATTAAGGTGAAATAAGATTTGAACTATTAACTAAATAGTAGAGTTATTTTATTTAAATTCCGTTATAGGGAAATTACAACCCCATCACTTATCTCCTAATTCATTGTGGGGTCAAGAAAATAACGTTTACCATCAAGTTGAAAGAACACCATTGGAGAGCCGATAATGGGATAACTTTTTCGAAATTATCTGCAAGACCCTCAATGAAAATTAATTAATCAATTAATTAAAACTCCGTCTGGAGTCCCTTTGAGGCTATTGCCGATCCCGAGTTCGGTTAAAGTAGTGTAGTGAACGAGAACACAGGTGGTGCAACCGGATTGTATTTATCGAAAATTACAGAGTCACTCAGTAAAATCGGAAAACCATATCGTAAATCGTTCATTTGCAAAATATCAGTTCATCATATCGAACTGGACTATTCCTGTTGCAAACGACATCAATCCATTGTCACTATTCATGCGTTTCATACAAATTCCATTGTGTTCTAACTCTTCCTTTCTTGATCTTCCCCCATCTTCTGCTGCTACTTATAAGTAGCTCGCACCACAGTAGGAGCGTTGGTTCAGCGACCCCACTGTGTAGAAAGTTAACTCGCTAGAAAAAACACTAACTAAAACAGGCTTTAAACAGAAAGGGTATGAACCAATCCATCAAGGTATAAACACTAGCATGCCATCGATATTCACTTGAAACACTTCATTCATACTGTGGTGCGAACTACTTATAAGTAGTATATAACGTGAATGTCAACGTAAAGTCTGGTAGCATAATATGTGGGGAAGATCAAGAAAGGAAGAGTTACAACACAATGGAATTTGTATGAAACGCATGAATAGTGACAATGGATTGATGTTTGGCAACAGGAACAGTCCAGTTCCATAGGATGAACTGATCTTTTGCAAATGAACGATTTACGATATGGTTTTCCGATTTTACTGAGTAACTCTGTAATTTTCGTTAAATACAATTCGGTTCCCCCACCTGTGTTCTCATTCACTACAATAATAATAATGGGATTTATATATGAAAATTTTGAATGCCGACTAAACAAATATAGGAAGGATAAAGGAAGAACAATGATAGTAAAAACAATCTCGTGAAATACATCAGGCCGAGCAATAAAATCAATATTGTCCTGGCCTATCCCAACAACAATTAGGATGAGAACAAATTATTATTAAATATAGACACACACAGAGAGAGAGAGAGGGGGGAGTTTGAAATTTCATATGACCCATATCTTTGAATAATTGATTGACTGATACAAAATACTATCAGTGACCTTATTTGAACTTGATATATTCCATTGTAACGGCATTGTTTATATTGTCATTAATTCTAACCTTTCACTAATGTACATTTATCAAATGTATGCATGTTTGTTTTTTCTTTTCTATATCGTTAATTGTTTATATTACTCTTTGTCTATCAACTTGGATATGGGAGTTAGTGTAGAGTCAATCTCAAAGCGTTATCAATACATTTTCATCATCTGTCTACTTGTGTTTAAGTGTGCTTTCTATAGAGTAATTCTCTAAGTAAGTTTCCTATTAGGCTTTTACTATCACTAATGCACATATTGAGGTTTATCTAAGTTCAAAAACAGTGGTTCCCTTTGATAAATTTGAATAGAAAAATAAGAAGACACTTTACAAATGATAGATATGTCGACGATATTCTTGTCATATTACCACATTCTACAGACATTAATGAAGTTTAGGATTTATTTAATGCGATTCACCCGAATCTGAAAGTCACTTATGAGGAAGAAAAGAATAATGAACTAGCTTTCCTCGATATCCTACTCCATCGCCGTCCAGACGGATCAATCAAACGAAAAGTACACCGCAAACCTACCTGGTCGGGACAGTACCTCCACTTCACTAGTTTCTGCCCCATACAATATAAATGTTATGTTGTCAAAACTTTATTCGCTCGAGCAAGTAGAATCTGCACTGCTGATACATTGAACGACGAATTCAAGCTTATTACTGAGACACTTAAATTAAACGGATATCCCGAAACGTTTATTGGTCATCAGAACATAACTACGACGAAGCTGATAGCAACTGATGTGCTCAAGAAACCAGTGTACCTACAGTTACCTTTCGAGGGTGATCATTGCATGAAAATTACAACCAAACAAACTGCAGCTGCAATAAAAAAGACCTTCAACGCAGCTAATATGAGGCTTATCACAACAACTCAATCGATCCCAGTTACCCCAATCAAGTCTCCGAGACCGATTCAGTCCAAATCCCTCTGTATTTACCAATTCACATGTAACTGCGGAGAAAGTTACTTAGGGAGGACAGATCGCCGATCGGAAGACAGAATAGGGGAACATATTTCAAAATGGTTAGTTAATCAAATCCATGATTCATCAACCTAGCCCATTATCTCAAAATCGATCAAGAAACCCAGCCTCGTCCATTGCAAAACATCTAATGATGAGTGGTCATAAAATTGACCCAAAATCAGCTTTTAGAGTTGTGACATGTAATCAAAACCCACACACACACTCAAACTACTCGAAGCTATCTTGATTGATCGGAAAAGTCCAACTTTATGTGTTCAAAAACAACTGTATGTTGACCTTTGTTTACCATGGTTCTAGTGAGTGAATATCATGCTAAATAAGAAATTTTGACCTTATCTTCAAAACTGCTGTATTTACACAAATAACATGTTGCTTGTATGTGACTGGCGAGAAAGCACGAAATGGTACTATCTCACAAAATATGTCTTCTTATTTCTCTATTCAAGTTTATCTAAGTGTTATATATGAAATTAACTAAGGATTCATACTTCATCATTCTCACCATTCTTACAATTAAAACAAAAGTGCAAACAACGACAGGTCAACAGTAACCAATCAAGATTGAGGTTAACAGAACAAGCTACAGGTCAAAAACGTGGAGAAATTCGAATACTTCACTTCTATCTGAAGTTTGTGCTAATGTAGTTGGTTCAGAAGAACAATGAAAGCTCCACAACCAAAACATTCAGCTCAGAGGATGGAACACTATCACAATCATCCACCTGAGCTACAAATTTTCCTGACCATCTCAAAACCATTCTCGCCAGTCACAGTGCCAATAACATGCATAAACTTAAACGTAGTGTAGAAGAGTCGTCAGTCAGTCATTTTTACTTTCAGATAAAGTGGAAATTCAAATACTAATATCACAATTTTTCAAGTTATGTAGAAACCATTTTACTTATCTGATTCGAAAGTATTGGTAACGAATGTCTAATAATAATAATCCCACAAAAAACATACTTCCTCAGACTCTAGTTATACAAAGGACATGGTGATTATTAACCGAAATCCTGACTTCATCATTCATGTCTACTGCTTTTAATTTTCATCTACCTTGTATGTTAGCAATATGAGTTTGGTGCGCATCATATTGACTAAATGTAACTCTTACGGAATACCATTAGTGACACACTGATAATGTCTCAGAACTCATTATTTCACAGAGGGTTGAATTTTCACTAAGACATATTTTGAGCTAATCACTTTCTTGACATTACTTACAGTTGAATTTTGTGAAGCTGTTCAATTATTGCTCAAACTTGATAGCTCCAGCTTGGAAGAAACCTAGGGGAGGCCAAACCAACTAGACTGAGACGTGTTAGTAGGTGTGAACTACCTGGTTGGGGTCCTCGAGGTGATAGTAATCGATAGTTAGAGACCCTGAATGACATGGCTCAAAACAGTTTGCAATGGCGCAGGTATATTTACTCTTTGTGCTCTCTCAAATCCTAACCTTCTGAATTCTTCATCACCTTTATCTTGTTATTTTTAAGTTTACTGCACTAGATTCTACTTCTGGAATAAAATCCTCGAACCCTAAAATTTCTGATAACTGTTAATCCTTCTACTACCTCTACTACTATGGGATTTGAATTGCCAATTACATCTCAGTGCTAATGTGGTATAGCAATTTGAACTGATGAACGTACGTACGTACGAAGTTCTGTTGTTGTTGTTGTTGACTGACTGATCGATCGATCGCATGAAATCATGCCTTACTTAACCTCCTAGTTTAGAATTATTACATTGACTGAATTATGGAATCGATTTAATAATAGCTAAACCAAAGTATTCACCATTCACACAATTTGAATGCAGCTATCATGAATTTTTAAGCAGGAATAATATTAAAATATCAACTCACGTCTCATGGTGTTGAGAAATTATGCAAAGCTGAACATTACCATGACACCAGTCAACAAGAAAAGTTCCTCAGAACGATACTTTACTGTAGTTGTATAACAGATTATTCTGAAACACTTGAACTTTGATACTACCTACTATGATTACCTACCAACAATGAACAACTAATCAAGACTCAATATACAATGACTTCCAGTTAAAAATAACATGATTTGACCAGTGTAATGGTAAGAAAGTCAGTCTGATGTAAAGTAGAACTTCGTACGTAAGTACATCAGTTCATGTCGCCATAACACATCAGCACAGAGATATAATTGTCAATTCAAATCCAATAGTAGAAGAGGTAGTAAAGGTATTAGAAGTAATCGTAGAGGTTAGGATGAGAAGATATTATTCAAGAAGTATGATTCAGTGAGAAAAGTTTAGAAAGTCAAAACTAGAGTTGTTGAAGAATCCAGAAGATTAGGATTTGAGAGAACACAAAGAATAAACGCACCGGCGCCATTGCGAAAAATTTTGAACCATGTCATTCAAGGTCTCTAACCATCGATTATTATCATCTCGCGGACCCCAACAAAGAAAAAGGATTTAAAGAACCTCAATCCAAAGTTGATTCCATAATCGTTACAAAATAAACAGTAAAACAAACAAATAGAATTCTTACCCCCATATTTTTATATTCTGGTTTACCATTAATAGTTTTCATATTTTGAATTCGAGTCTTAGCAATATCAATAGGTAAAGAGAAAACGGATGTAGTGAAACCACTTAATAAACTAGCCATTATATGTACACCTAAACCATCAGTGAAATGACCTAGAAGAAATTATAAGGAAACAAAATACAAATACAAATACAAAGAACAGATTATTAAAATTTTTACTTGATTAGACAACATTTGTTAGCGTCTTCACCGTGCGAACAGATAGACAGACAGATACAATGCAGAACTTCGTACCTAAATATATCAGTTCAGGTTGCCATGCCCCATCAGCACAGAGACCCAACTGTCAGTTCAAATCCAACAGTGATAGCAATAATAGAAGTATTAGCAGTAATAGAGAAGATTAGGGAGCGAAGATATGATTCGAGAAGTGTAATTCAGTAAGATAAATTTGTAAGGAGAAAAATGGAGATGATAGGGAATTCAGAGGGTTAGAATTTCATAGAACACAAACAGTGGATGCACCTGCGTCATTGCAAACGATTCTGAGCCGTGTCCTTCAAGGTATCTAACCATCGGTTACTGTCGTCTCGCGGATCCCAACCAGCTAGCCTGCATCTACAAACATCACTCAGTCCACTAGTCAGTGACTTCATGGATTTGTGCCATGTTTCCGTTTGGCCACCCCTAGCTTTCTTCCAATCTACTCCTACACTACAAAACATAGCTCGTCGCGGCAGTCGGTGGTTAGCCATACGTGCGAACACATATAGCTATCGTGTTACGATGTATACAGAAGTGAAAATGACAGGAATTCTATTCGGTGAGTCGAAAAAATGCTGCGAAATCAAAACCCGATATGATATATTCTGGTGAATTTTTTTTTCAGAAGTATCGAGAATTCTATTACAATTTATCTTACCACTTGAAATCGAATGATTTAACCCCATCAGTTACGTTATGATTCGAATTTTTGCTACTTTAAGACAAAGGACGTGGTGAGTACCAATAGCAGATACTTTTCTTGAGATATAGTAATTTTTGAAGCACAACTACTGACCAACAATAATTTTCAAATGTCGAAGTATGGTGAGGGCTACTTATACGAACGATATAAGTAGTATAAGAAGGGACGTGAAAGAAGAAGGCTCACGGTCAGAAGAGGAAAACGGAAAGCAAATGGAGCAAAAGCAAGAAGTAAATGGAGTACCAACAGGAATGGAAGAAGGATGGAGCGTTGGAAGTCACGAATCAAAGATGGTGTGCAAATAGAGTATACAATGTAATGTTTTCGTTTTTAACTGACTCAGAGTGTAAATTTGCATAACACAATCTTCCTCACCTGCCTCAGTTTTCTCGGGAGTAGTTTCTGATCTCGATTTTAAAGAGATTAGTGAGTTATATACCAACTCTGCAAGATGTTCCGAACACAAATCAAGCTTACATTGTAACTAATAAAAGTGAACAGTTCAACGAGTCACCGAATTAATAAGACTACAAATATATCTTGTATTTTAGCATGATGAAGACCGCTCGTTTAGTTGTGGCTTGTACATTAGTTAATCAATTCTAAATTTGTGATTTCTTTTGTTATATTAAATTTCAATACTAAATATCATAATGGCATAAAAACAAATTACTTTTTTTGAATACATTTGGTTATATATATCAGTCAGTCAGTCAGACGCAACGTAGAACTTTGCACGTAAGTACATCAGTATATCAGTACACCCGACCGTAGCTGCTACCTTGATGTGGTGGTCGGACTTGCCTATTGTCATGACCCAACCGAGCTATATCGGCTGGAACATAAATTCCTGAAGGTTCTACCATGCCAGGCAGGTCGATTGGAGAACGATGAGACTAAAAGCAGCTACCCAGGGTCTGAGGGCGAAGTCGTACTGCTGACTGCAGAGGGGTGTGACAGCAGTAAGGTGTTTCCCTCGGACAACCAGTATCTACAGCGATGCTCCCTTCTCACAAGGAAGGAAGGGTTAGAAAAGGTCGACCCTAAAAATGTCACACCTCACCCTACTTCACGGATTTCCATCTCCGGCGATAAGGGTGCCCACTAAGAGCTTTTAAAAAGAGCGGAGCTAATACTCAAAAAACTTTTCATAAAAAGGCCGTGCGTGACCGGCCTCAAGCAGTTTTCCGTTGGACTCTGCGGTCACGCTCTCAGGTGTCTCTAAGACCAACACTAATCTATCTTCCTTTTCAGGTCCCTCATGAAACGACCTTCCATGGTGTGGGCAGCCGGGATGTGACAATCGCCCTCATACCCGTAACAGCACAAGAGAACAAATTGGTCGAAATCAAATCCTTCCTACACCCCTAGTACCTCTCTTCTCTCCACAACCAACTCTACTCACAGTCTGATTATATATATAAACTTACCAATTTCAAGAAGTTTTTGTTTGGCTTGAGAGTAAGTAGCTAATTGTGCACCGTTAACTACAGCTGCTCGACCCATAGTTGGAACTGCACCCTACAAAATAGAATTATACAAAGATATATATATATATATATATATATATATATATATATATATACTGCTTCCTTATTAAACAAAACTAAAGTCAAGACTAAATGAGCTCAAGAATATGGTTTGTTTACTTACTGGGATTTAAAATGATTATTTTATTTATTCCAAACACACAAATATTGGTACAAGTAACCACCAGTCAGTCAGTCAGATGCAACGTAGAACTTCGTATGTAAGTACATCAGTTCATGTTGCCATACCACACATCAGCACAGTGATGTAATTGTCAATTCAAATCCAATAGTAGAAGAGGTAGTAAAGGTATTAGAAGTAATCGGAGAGGTTAGGATTAGAACATATTATTCAAGAAGTATGATTCAATGAAAAAAGTTTAGAAGGTCAAAACTAGAGGGGTTGAAGAATTAAATTACACCATCTAGGCGTTGGTGTCACACTGAGGAGTAGATCGAAGTCAGTGTTATTCGATTGGATCACTATTAACAGCCGATTATGTGCTATTAGATTAGAAAGTGAGAAACGATACCTATACGTTGTCTCCGCTGGTGTTTCGAGATGATAATACCGCCCTGGTTTTCACAATATTGAGTTGATCTCATCAGTCACGCTACCACCAGAACTTACACAGCTACTAGGATACATGAACTTTCAGATTCTCTCTATCTGCAGGTTTAGGGTTCTTCCGGTCTTATAAGAGAATTTTAGGCTTATAAGGTGGAAAGCACACACCATACCTATGGACAATCATTAAGTACGGAACACATGGTTTGGTAATTATCATACAGTAAGAGAATATAATTCGCGTACTCAAGGTCGAAGAGTCTTTCCTCCAGGTAACAGATTCATACCACCATTACCTGATTAGGAATGAATAAGAGATACTGTTGATTCACTGGAAAAACAATCAAATTCATTCAAATAATGATTAACGTTAGACAACGATTGAAAACCTGGGAGCACTGGATGGTCGTTATGTCCTAGTATGAGGCTCATCATTAGCACCCACGATCCTGCAAACTGGAATCGACCTTCGGTCTCGCGCAGAAACGTCTAACCAATTGCTCACGGAGCCGGCATCTAACGCTGTCTAAATTCAATCCACAATGAATTGTTGATGAAAAGATACTTTGCTTAAGATCATTTTTATGTGACAAAACACGTATAATGTTTTTATTGAATTTTTATGCTTTTTGCTTACTGATCCCTTTATATAAAAAGAATTTAGAAACTGCATCAGGGAAGAGTATTAAAATATACTTGAGTACACTCGATACGTGTTATGTGCGATAAGACTTTGCATAATGAGTTACGTTGACTTTCATCTTTCCCACTTATTTCTATTCTTAACTACTGAAATTATGTTTTCATAAGTGTGTAGATAAACAAATTAATGTCAGTATCTTGTTTTTAGCACTGTTTTAACACAAACTAGTAATGTGATGCAAAATACTCGCAACGTGGCTGGCTTATAAGCAGTATACAGTGAATATGCAGCAGAATGGAGCCCAGAAGTTACTGTTGAAGAGAAGAGTATCGAATCAAGTTTTTGACGGAATGAAAATGTCTTGAAAACTAGGAGACATGAGAAAGAAGACAACCAAGAATCTGCTTGCTTTAAAAAAAAGTCTGAAGATAAGATGTACACACTTTACTAGTAAACTGTGTATCTTATTTCAATAAATTGACAGTTCCATCTGTTCATAACATCTTTGTTCATTACAGTAACAGCAAAGGGATTTTTACTCAATTCAGTTGGTGAATAGTATGTATAATCCCATTATTGATATTTTAGACTGAATTTTAATGAGTCGACATTAGCAGGACTCAGTGGCTAAGTGGATAACACGTTGGAGCAAAAGGTATAGAGGGTTGGCCATCCTACAATGAATATCCTCTCAGTGATACAAGCATATCCAATTAACTAGTCACAAATAGAACGGGACACGCATTCTGGATTCTACTACTAGCCACAATCTATCTATTATATCAGTCAGTCAGTCAGATGCAACGTAGAACTTTGTACGTAAGTACATCAGTTCATGTTGCCATAACACATCAGCACAGAGATATAATTGTCAATTCAAATCCAATAGTAAAAGAGGTAGTAAAGGTATTAGAAGTAATCGGAGAGGTTAGGATTAGAAGATATTATTCAAGAAGTATGATTCAGTGAGATAAGTTTAGAAAGTCAAAACTAGAGGGGTTGAAGAATCCAGAAGATTAGGATTTGAGAGAACACAAAGAATAAATGCTCCGGCGCCACTGCAAACGATTTTGAGCCATGTCATTCAGGGTAACTAACCATCGATTATTGTCATCTCGCGGACCCCAACAAGGTAGTCGACACATACCGACATGGCAAAGTCCACTCGTCAATGACTTCATGGATTGATCTATCTATTATATGCTAACTCAAAATCTGATTTGAAGAATGGAATTACGAGAGACCAACTAGGAACTCTTGACAAATCTCTGACATTACCACTAACCTGAGTGATGAAAACTTGAATCCCACCATAAGGGATATTAAGTTCCCAGTTTTACAAGTACACCCTTTCTATGCTTAATTACTTGTATGCTGCTGTCAACACAAGTAAAGGATGAATAATACTACTGGGCTATATATAGATTAAATAGTTCAAAGTTTTAACAACTTTAATTCATAGTCTGTTAGGATATTCACCAAATATCCTAAGAGTACTATTTTTGGAAGTATAATCCTATTGGTCGAATTCTATTGGTCAAAATTATGGTCGTTTTAACTGTCAAAGTCAAATACTTCAATGTTGTCTCTTATTGGTCGTCCTAAACTGCCAATGTCACAGACTTTGATGCTCTTTCCTATTCGACCAAAATGTATAAATAAGCACTATCTGTAAGCCTTCATGATTCCGATTTCGATTCCGTTTCTTCCTGCCTACCTCTCTTCTGTACTCGACCCAATAAACAACTCCATCCGACGGTGTTGCGTTCTGATATATAGGAGATTTGGTAATAGCATTTTGGGTCGTATTGAGATATTTGAATTGGACGCCGCTAGGACTGAATAGAGCTATACGTAGCAGCGTTTAAAACATAGTCAACTTGTAAATTTGAACATCATTAGGTCATTCCGAAGGATAATTATTATTAAATTAAACTCATCTCCATGAGAATATCAAAAAATCCATTCAAAATATAAAAATTATACACTACATTTTAGTATTGTGATTAATTATCATCGAAACAGAACATACACATACGCACATTTCCTAGAAAATTCATATCAGATGAGTGAAAATCAGATAACCAAACATGACCTAAGTAAATGCTAGTTATGTTAGAACTTTTTTCTATGATTTCTCTATATTGTTTGATTGACTTGTAGCAAAGAACAATCATGAATCACATTCATTTCCATTGATAACTTGAATCTTATTGATTTATTAACATACAGAAGAAAAAAAAAGGTCACTACTACTGAATGATAACGATAATATACATAGATAAGATTGAAAGCGTTAGAGTAGTAATTCAATACTATAACTATTTATACTAGGAAGTTTGTGATGTATGTTACATCATGAAAGTCGGATAGTATTTAATGGCTCTTAGTGATAGTTTTTTTAAAACTAATTGACTGCTATCTTTCTAAAAGCTCAAAAATTATAAAATAATCGGAGTAAATATGCTTGAATATCCCTAATTTTGAAATAACAGAGTTGAGGATTTTACTATGTACTTTTTTTAGTTAACCAGATATCCTGGGTGTGTTGTTTTTAATATGCAAGTTACGACTGTCAAAGATCTTGGTTAATTGAAGTAGCACTAGATGAAAACCTAGAGGATCAAATGATTGGTGCGAAACCTGAAGGTACTGGGTTCGAACCCTAGTGGATGTGAGAACTAACCAATTGTACAATGCTCCCTAGTCTTTGATTGTACCACAACTGTTAACAATCTATGATGAATAAAATCTATATTTGTTTTTGTATTTTGATTCGGAGCTCGTATAGAAATAGACAGACAAACAGACATAACGCAGAACTTCGCACATGAGTAACATCAGTTCAGGTTGCCATGCCCCATCAGCACAGAGACCCAACTGTCATTTCAAATCTAACAGTGATAGCAATAATAGAAGTATCAGCAGTAATGGCGAAGATTAAGGAGCGAAGATATGATTCGAGAAGTGTAATTCGGTAAGATAAATTTGTAAGGATAAACGCAGAGATTGTGAGGAATGCAGAAGGTTAGAATTTCATAGAACACAGAGTGGATGCACCTGTACCATTGAAAACGATTCTGAGCCATGTCGTTCAAGGTCTCTAATCATTGGTGACTATCGTCTCGCGGACGCCAACCAGGTAGCCTAAATCTATCAACATGACTCAGTCCACTAGTCAGTGAATTCATGCATTTCTTCCATGTTTTGGTTTGACCGCCCCTAACTTTCTTCCAATCTACTCCTACACTGCAAAATATAGCTCGTTGCAGCAGTCGGTGGTTAGGCATACGTAACACATGTCCCAACCACCTCAACTGACGAAGTTTCATTACTTCATCTATTGATTTGCCATCCCTACCTAGAACTCGTTTCCTAACGACAGCATTGCTTATACGGTTGTCCCATGATACACGAGCAATGCTTCGAGGGCATCGATGATCGAAGACTAGTAACCTACGGAAGTCCTCTACTCTTAACGGCCAAGTCTCGCATCCGTACAGTAGGACGGAGCGAACTGCTGCACAGTACACTCGTCCTTTGGTTAGCAAACGGATATCTCACCTACGCCATAAGTGACGCAAGTTGGCAAAAGCCAATCGAGCCTTCTGTATCCGTGCTGAGATTTCGTCAGTCACCAGGCTATCAGCACTGATGAGACTCCCAAGATAAGTGAAGCGGTCTACACGTTCGACTACTTCACTCCCTATCACTAGGTCAGGTGCCGATGCAACCCAATCTTGAAGCAACATTTTGCATTTCGAGGGGGAAAACCGTATAGAAACGATGAACAATAAAAAGCTAATTGAACTTTTCATGTCTTAATTATTAAATCCATGATAAAATGCAACTTATTTACTCAATACATGTTCATGTTCTAAGTTTTGGGAGGTTTATGCGAGTAAATAATACTCATTGTTTGTTTATACCAAGATAAGTAGAGTAGGATTCAAACAGAATAGTTGAAAACTGAGTTGATTATCTACCAAACCATTACATTACTCAAAATATTGACCAGTTAACTAGTATATTTTGAAAGTACTAAGAGACTTATACAATATATACTATTAATATTTGTTGTTCATTTGACCGTATTACTATTAAATTTAATATACATTCTTCTTGTCAGTTATACGTGACACACAACTTGACACGTACTTTGGGTCAAGTTGCTATATTACTTTAGCATGGAGACATAAAATTATTTCAAGACAAGCTGAAGCGCAGTGGAAATAAAAACAATGCTAGTAGTAGTAGTAGAAAATAATAGGTGTAAGAATGAATACGAAGAAATAAGATTTTAGAACTAAGGGTTTCAAAAGAAGATATAACCAAGGGATGATTGACGATTTTGAGCCGTGTTATGCAGAGTCTGAAACCGCTGGTTAAGATGATAAACACAAATCTCAACCATGTGATCTACACCCATTAACAGACAGACAAACAGATACAACGCAGAACTTCCTACGTAAGTACATCAGTTCAGATTGCCGTACAACATTAGCACAGAGACCCAAATGTCACTTCAAATCCAGGAGTGATAGTGATAATAAAAGTATTCGCAGTAATGGAGAAGATTAGGGAGCGAAGATATGATTCGAGAAGTATAATTGAGATAAATTTAGGAGGAGAAAGAGATTATGAGGAATTCAAAAGGTTAGAGTTTGAGAGAACACAGAGAGTGGATGCACCGGCGCCATTGCAAACGATTCTGAGTCATATCATTCAAGGTCTCTAACTATCGGTGACTATCGTCTCGCGGACTGCAACCATGTAACCTACATCTACCAACATGACTCAGTCCACTTGTTAGTGACTTCATGGGCTAAGACTACCCATTAACACAACTTAGTCCCAAAGCCAATTACTTTACGAACTGATGTGATGTTTTGGTTTGGCGGTCTCTAGCATTTGTACACCTTACTCATACAACAAATAACATCTCCAGGCGATGGTGGTGGTTGGGCATAGATAACACATCTCCTAACTACCTCAGTTGACGAAGATATACCATATTACCAATCAATTTGGTATCCTTACCTAGTACCTTATTCCTAAACCACGTATGCCCCTCCCTCGGTGATCCTAAAATATACGAGCAATGCTTCGAAAACATAATCGAACACTAGTAACCTACAAAACCTCACATCTATAAATGCGGAAGTGAGCGAACTCATCCTTTGGTTGATGGAGCGATATTTCACCTACACCACATGTTAAAAAAACGCCGACTCTGAAGTAACAATGTAGATTTAAAGGGAGAGAATCGTATCACAAACAAACATGCTTGTATTGTTCCTTAAGGTGATCAGAAGACTACTGCATTTGTCAATGTCTTCATCAAACAGAATACTATCATCTGCATATTACAAGTTAACAAGTAAATCTACTAGTAGATGAGCCTCCCGATAAGTTAGACAATGAGTGTTATTTCTAAAAGTTTATCTATAACAAAGTTTAAATAAAAAATTGACGAAACAGTAAACACTATAAACGCATAACATATTACTACAAGTATTGTAAAAAAAAAGGTTCGGTTGATATGAATCTCAGATTGATTCACCTACCCGCCATAATGTTAACACGCCTTCTTCACGTGCGATTCTTATTAGAGCATTGAATACATTGGAATAATTGAGACGTTCTGCTGGTGGCAATCTAACGATTTAAAAATATCCATACAAAAAAAATGTATTATTTATTAAACTATAAAAAGGTTGGCTTTTGATCAAACAATTGTATCGTTTTAATAAACTGACTTAAACAGATAGTTTACTAATCTATCTAAGATGAACCTAGCAATGTTCTGTTGAAATTGCATGAGGAGAGAACATCAACTGTACATAGATCAAGCCTGATTTACTGCTTGTGATAAAAAGTGAGATAAATCAAACTGTAAAAGTATTGTTTTATGAAATACGACAGACAGGACAGGACACATGGACATCGAAAGTGTGAAAATCCAAATGTAAGTTAAAAAAAGTGCAAAGTCTTCAACAGGGTATTGTTAAACAGAATGAAGGACTTCGTAGACGCCCAACTTCGAGGTCAACAGGCCGGATTTCGTAAGGATCGATCGTGTACTGACTAAATTGCTACATTACGGATCATTGTAGAACAATCAATTGAATGGAACTCACAACTCTACATCAACTTCATCGACTACGAGAAAGCATTCGATAGCGTGGTGGATAGGAAAACACTGTGGAGGCTTCTTCGACACTACGGTGTGCCTGAGAAAATAGTTAACATCATACGGAATTCTTATGATGGATTCAACTGCAAAATTGTACACGGAGGACAGCTAACAGACTCTTTCGAGGTGAAGACCGGTGTCAGGCCAGGTTGCTTACTCTCACCCTTTCTCTTTCTCCTGGTCATCGACTGGATTATAAAGACGTCAAAATCTGGAGGGAAGCACGGTATCAACTGGACAGTTAGGACACAGCTGGACGATCTGGACTTCGCAGATGACCTGGCTCTTCTATCGCACACGCAACAACAAATGCAAGAGAAGACGACCAGTGTAGCAGCAGCCTCTGTAGCAGTAGGTCTCAACATACATAAAGGAAAAAGCAAAATTCTCCGATGCAACACAACATGCACCAACCAAATCACTCTTGATGGAGATGCTTTCGAGGACGTCAACAACTTTACATATCTGGGCAGCATCATCGACAACCAAGGTGGATCGGACGCAGATGTGAGGGCGCGGATTGGCAAAGCGAGGGCTGCATTTCTACAGTTGAAAAATATCTGGAACTCCAAAAAACTTTCAACCAAAACTAAAATCAGGATTTTCAATACAAATGTCAAGACAGTACTACTGTATGGAGCGGAAACATGGAGAACTACCAAAGCCATCATCCAGAAGATAAGAGTGTTTATTAACAGTTGTCTACGCAAAATACTTCGGATTCGTTGGTCAGACACCATCAGCAACAACGTACTGTGGGAGAAAACAAACCAGATTCCAGTGGAGGAGGAAATCAGGAAGAAGTGGTAGAAGTGGATAGGACACACATTGCGGAAAGCACCTAACTGCGTCACGAGACAAGCCCTCACATGGAACCCTCAAGGCGAAAGGAAAAGAGGAAAGTCAAAGAACATACTACGCCGAGAAATAAAGAAAGATATGAGAGGAATGAACAAACATTGGACAGAACTGGAGAAGGAAGCCCAGGACAGAGTTGGTCGGAGAAGACTGGTGGGCTGCCTATGCTCCATTGGGGGTAACAGGCGTAAGTAAGTAAGTAAGTTAAAAAAATGTTAAATTATAAATTTTGTCAAAATGTAACTAGTTTTAAATCACATTGATATGATAACAAACGCAAAATAACAATATATATATATATATGCTTTCAGTGTTACCTGCCATCCGATGTCATACGAATGAGACAAATTTCAGCTGGTGTCCCAATAAATGCACCGCATATTCCAGCAGTTACAGCTATACTTATTTTTGTGAAGAAATTTGGAGATTCTTTTTTACGCTTTGTATATTGTTCAAATAAATTTGTATAGATGCCTAAACGAGCAGTTGAATAGGTGGCTTGACGAAGTAATCCTGCTGATAAACTAAAAGAATAGTTAAACAGTTTTTTTTCAACTAAAGTTATGGAGATTAGTGTTTTTACACATTGAAAACATCAATCAATCATTGATAGACTACCATCAGAAGCCTGGAAGTCCTGGACGGCCGTTTCGTCCTGGTATGGTTACTCATTAGCAGTGCATATCCACGACTCATGCACCTGGCAAGATTCGAACCCAGGGTCTGCGGACTTGTGTGCGAACGCCTAACGTCTGGACCACTTGGCCGGCGTCCAACGGTGTTAACGTCGAACCCTGATCAATCTAAAGATTTTGAGTGAGCTCACTCATTTGTTATTGGTAATTACTGCCTCAGCTTAACAGGGCTGAACTCCACTGGTCACGTCTTCTCACTAGGACTCCGAAAATTTCCTCACGAAGCTAGTCACTAGTGGGCACACTGCGCACTGCTGATAAGTCCTATACCAGGACGAAACGGCCATCTAGTGCTTCCAGATTAAACAGATATGCTTTTTTACATATTTAATCAAAATGTTCTCTAGAAATTATTCAATTAGAAAATATTGATTATAGTTAAGTAGTAAATAATACCGTGATATAGCTGAAACTGACAATAGGTTTGCGTAATTTTTAGATTAGCATGGAAAATCACTTATACCTATGGTAACCATCTATCTGAGGTAAATAAACTTTGCATGATAGATTTGTGAAAGACGTAAACTTTAAATGATTTCCATGTTAAACTTAAGAGCAAAACTAAGTGATAAGCGAATTCAACAACAAAACCCAAATTTCATTACTAAGTAATCATTTTTGATATTTATTGTTTTAAGGGCTATCAGTACTAGTTGGTTTGAAAATTCTAAACGGAACGGACCAAAAAAAAGCGGTTTAGTCAAATTTGGCTGACTGTTCATATTTTTCATCGTTCGACAATATAATTAATCTTATTACTTGGGGAAATTACTTTCGTCCAATTAGCTTCTTATCACAGATCAATATTAAAACACAGTGTGATGAGCGCTACTTATAAGTAGTATATGATGTGAGTGAAAACGTAATGTCTGGCAGCAGAAGATGGGTGAAGATCAAGAGAAAAGAAGAAGAGTGGGAACACAATGGAATTTGTATGAAACGCATGAACAACAGTGAAATGTCAGACAATGGATCGATGATGGATTGAAGATTTACAAATTAACCGTTTACGATATGGTTTTCCAATTTTACTGAGTAACTCTGTGATTTTCCTTTAAATACAATTCGGTTGCCCTCACCTGTGTTCTCCTTCACTACAATAGTTTTACAAATATCATTTTAATTTTAAAAAAAGTCACTGAATTAGCTAAAAATAGTGAATTAGTGAATTTAATCAAGGTAACTGACAATCATCACTAGACGGTTTATTTATAGATCTCTTTAGTTCACAACTTAATACTTCAGAACCACATATTAGTTAATGCTAAATTTTATTATTATTGGTGGATGAGGAATCGATTAATTTTGAAAACTAAACTAACCCTGAGTATATTGCGAAAAATCCTTCATTTTTAATAACTGATAGAAGTACTTGAAGGCTGTTACGTTGACCAGAGGTAGCACTTCCAATACCTGTAAAATCAATAATAGAATTAAATTGAAAAATGATATCAATAAATAATAAATAAATAGATATATTGGGGCACAGTTTTTTGGAGGTTTGCGTTTTTACACATTTGAAATCATTAATCAATCATCATTGTTAGACCACCATTAGAAACCTGGAAGCACTGCAAGACGGCCGTTTCGTCCTAGTATGGGACTCCTCAGCAGTGCGCATCCACGACTCCTGCTCCTCGCAGGATTCGAACCCGGGACCTTTGGAATTGTAGGCGAACGCCTTACCATGGTGGTCTAACAATGATGATTGATTAATGATTTCAAATAAATAGATAATTGGTAATGATGATAAAATACACTGGTCCATAACGATGGGCTTGCAGACATATAGAATGATTGTGTTAAATAAATTATTCTGAAATGCCGTTTGAATTTTCGGAGAGTAGTAAGTTTGATCGCAGTTATTTTACTCCCATGATATTTTTCCTAACATTCGGTCATATTGTTGTACGTTAAATTATGTGTAAGAAATTCTACCGGGTATATTTTAATGCAAACTACTGAAAGGCATGATAGTTATGGAAGGGATTGACGATCTAATTACTTTTTGTACGTTAATGTCGATAGCTTTCGGAAAATACATCTGAAGGAAATGTTCAATGACGTGGGTATTTTTTTTTAACCTGAAGAAAGACTTTGAAGTTGAATATACATAGAGCAGCACGCAGGCTAACGAAAATGTACTCAACTTATTTGTTGGACATTAAGTATAAATATACTATTTAAGTTGCACTACAAATCTATGAGATACTTTTGCAGTACTACTAGTGAACATCTATGTCTGAATTCTCATTTCATGGTAAACTGTTGGAAAAATTTTTTAAAAATTTTTGTATCCTGGTAGCTACATAACTGATGATGATGACGATGCAGATTAGATGAATCTACAAGTATACTTAATTCCATAGAAATCTACAGTTTTTGATGGATTTTGTCATAGGTAGATAATTGAGGACTAGGATTAGGAATCTCCGAGCTTTTAGAACTGGTGAAAACTAAAAAAAACTGCCAATAAAAGATAATTATAAATGGTCGCTTTAGGATGCCACAATTGTCTACCAATTTAGTTAAAAGGAGTACACTTAATCGATTTTGACCGAGCGACTAGAACTTAATCAGTCAGTCAGTTGCAACGTAGAACTTCGTACGTATGTACATGTTGCCATACCACATTAGCACAAAGACGCAAATGTCAAATCAAATCCCATAGTGATAAAGATAGCAGGGGTATTAACGGTAATGAAGAAGACTAGGGTTCGAAGATATTATTCAAGAAGTATAATTCAGTGAAATAAGGTTAGAAAGACAAAGGTAGAGGTGCTGACGAATCCAGAAGATTAGGATTTGAGAGAGCTCAACGAATGGATGCACTTGAGCCATTGCAAACGATTCTGAGCCATGTCGTTTAAGGTCTCTGACCACCAGTGACTTTCGTCTCGCGTACCCCAGCCAGGTAGTCTACATCTACCAACATGACTCAGTCCACTTTTCAGTGACTTCATGGATTTCTGCCATGTTTTGGTCTGGCCACCCCTAGCTTTCTTCCAACCTACTCCTACACCACTAGAACTTAATCACTGGTATCAATCAAATGGTGATATATTTTTAGATCGAATCATGAGGCTATAACATTACTATTATTCCATTTATAAAACTGAACTGTAACCAGTACTGAAGTTAAAAAAAAATTATTAACGAATATAAAAGTATGTTGAAAATTAATTGGCCATACGGGCAGTATTCAATGTTTAATATGTTGTTCAGTCAGTCAGTCAGATGCAACGTAGAACTTTGTACGTAAGTACATCAGTTCATGTTGCCATACCTTATCAGCACAGAGATATAAGGTATTAGAAGTAATCGGAGAGGTTAGGATTAGAAGATACTATTCAAGAAATATGTTGTTAGGTAAATAATGATAACGGAATGACCGAAACTTATTTGTTATCTGAAACTGACTCAATGGATAAATAAAATTGAAACAAGTAAAATTGAAAAAATTTACACCGCTGTCTTACCGCTCATTTGCATTCGATTTTTCACCAGGTCCAAAGGTTGAACGCAAACAGAAGCACACATCCTGTAAATTTAAGGTAATGAAAGCTCAAGAGACTGAGATTTATTTCAATCATGGATTAATCAAAACCCATGATGATTCAGCATCAAGATTGGTCATGAAAGTCATCACTCATAAACGATACAACAGTTGGTGGGTAGTTACATATTGTAACAATAAGCCGAAATTGAAATTGTAACGAACAAAAAATACATAATAATATTTTCACAACAAGATATGTATTCGAAATCAAGAAAAAAAAGATGTGAGAACTGGAAAACTAACAGTCGGATGAAATGTCATAATCTAGATGACAATATGATTGATGATTTGGAATCAATCTATTTAGCTGATAGATTATTTGAAAACTAATAATATTAATTGTCACACAATAAGTTGTGAAAAAAACCCGTTTACATCTTTGACACTACAAATAATAATAATAATAATTCAATACCAATTCAATACTCAACCATAGATTCACATAAATCTAATTTGGAAAATACTACATTAGCAAACTAGAATACGGCGGATATGAAAAACAAACCTTCATATTTCAACAACTATGAAAAAATTTATGCGCTAAAGCCAAAAGATAAATGTGAAGTGAAGAGATGAAATAATTAGTATGTCATGAGAGAATGGAAGTGGTTGTAAAATAAATAGTAACAGTCGATATGTTAGTGCCTAAGTTTTAAAAACTATTGTGATGCGAGCTACTTATAAGTAGTATATGACGTGAGTGTCAGTCAACGTAATGTCTGGCAGCAGAAGATGGGGGAAGATCAAGAGAAAGGAAGAAGAGTTAGAACACAATGGAATTTGTATGAAACGCATGAATAGTGAAGTGTTAGACAATGGATTGATGTTGTTTACAACAGGAACAGTCCGGTTCGATATGATGGACTGATATTTTGCAAATTAATGATTTACGATATGGTTTTCCGATTTTACTGAGTAACTGTAATTTCGTTAAATACAATTCGGTTGCCCCCACCAGTGTTCTCCTTCACTACACTATTATTTTAGTTAAGTAAAAAATCACTGACAGTTTAGAATAATGACCAAAACGGAATATAGGATATTTGTACTTTTACAATATACACTAAGCATAGAATCGCTTTAGTAGACGTTTACAAGTCAGTCAGTCAGTCAGATGCAACGTAGAACTTCGTACGTGAGTACATCAGTTCATGTTGCCATACCACATCAGCACAGAGATGTAATTGTCAATTCAAATCCAATAGAAGAGGTAGTAAAGGTATTAGAAGTAATCGGAGAGGTTAGGATGAGAAGATATTATTCATGAAGTATGATTCAGTGAGAAAAGTTTAGAAAGTCAAAACTAGAGGTGTTGAAGAATCCAGAAGATTAGGATTTGAGAGAACACAAAGAATAAATGCACCGGATCCACTGCAAACGGTTTTGAGCCATGTCATTCAGGGTAACTAACTATCGATTATTATCATCTCGCGGACCCAAACCAGGTAGTCGACAACTACCGACATGAAACAGTCCACTTGTCAATGACTTCATGGATTTCTTCCATGTTTTGTTTTGGCCACCCCTAGCTTTCTTCCAACCTATTCCTACACTACAAAATAAAGCTTGTCGAGGCAGTCGGTGGTTAGCCATGTTTACAAGCATTACAGTAAAACTCAAACATGTCATAATAATGACACACAACATCGAGACAAAATGTATACAAAAAAAATGATTCGTATATATAAGATTAAATGGTACAGAGTGGCATGAAAGCATTCACATCAAAACCTACCCAGAAGTTCCGCCTAAAATAAACTTCATGGTAGGCGGGATCTCGGCCTTCTTTTTATCAGTCTGCATCGTTGAAAAATTTGACTAGGTACTTGTTTCGAAAGAATATGTGGATGTAAAACCAACCGTGAACAGTTGGTACTAAAAATAAAATAAGAAATGATTAAAAGAGAAGAGATTGAACACAAAAGAAGATAACTTGTATAACTACCTCACTAACTAAAAATCACAAAATTTAGTACAATTAGGCACAAAAAATAAAATTCACTACACAACTACATCATAGAAAGCAGAGAAGGAAAATAGAAAAAGTACATCAGTAAATAAGAATAACATATTATTCCACTTGCAGTCTGGTTAGAAATGCAATCAAGAAAGACTTCATTCTGCCAAAGGAGTTTCTATCACCTATACGAAGAATGTGAAAGAAAAAATAGAGCAGGACCACCTCCAGCTTTCAGCTTAAGCTGTCTGATAACATCTTCAGTTGCAAAGTTTTACGACCTCAAAGACCTTGACTGGGGTGTCGTATTGGATCAACAGATGCGATTCCCACACAGCTTTCTTTAATTCTACGGTGTCACGTCATAATAAATCGACCATCTCGTAGCTTTGACCATTTAGTCACAAGGTCGACAACCAACGAATGATGTAGAATACTCTGGGATGGCATTCATAAAACATACACCAACCAATAAAGAAGTGGCTAGGGATGGTGATCGTCAGTAAATAATTGTCCCTTGGTTAGAGCGCATACTGCTAAACCTTATCATTACTAACACGGTATTGCCCAAGGGATGCCAGCAATTCCTTGACGACGATAATACTCCTTCCATAATACACGACATTTCGACTGACTTGAACATATTAACGAAGTTTCATATGACATTAATTTAGAACCGAACTAAATAAATGGTTGAATAATTATCTTACACATAGTCATCAACCTTACTACAAAAACGTATATAACGCTACACAGAATTTATGGCCTGCACATTTTATAATCTATAGGATGAAATATATTGATTAAAAGACGGAAAAATTTAAAAGTGACATACAAATTCATAATCACTCATCAGTGAATGAAACCATCAGAACTGATCAACCGAGGCCATCATAAAAATGTTTTGAGTATGAACAAGCAGGTCTAGATCAGCATCTTTACTCACCGAGCGGTTTGCAACTCGAAATCGCGACATCAGAAAATTGTGTGAGCTTTATTCGTTTTTTAGAGAAACAGGGCCTTAACGCAGACACTTGTTTTGAAGGTTAATACAAGCCAAATGACCTTTTATTATCGTTATTGATGACCAAGCATCCACTGATGCAATATTCAAAGCTTGAGAAATGTTTAACCAATAAATTATCCAGGCTAACTGTTCAACGAGAGAAAGTGCTTGAAGCTCTATTTCCTGCTGAATAATTTAGACAGTACCATGGATGACACTAAATCTATAGCACAAACATCATAGACCAACAAACTTCATGGACACGAGTTTTCGAAAGCTTAGAATGATCATACACAAACCAAGACTACGACTGGTTATTATAAATTATAAGCATCGATAACCTATGATTGGCTCCCGAAGCTTTAAAAGTTGTAATTAGATTGTGCACCATAATTAATCCACGTCATGTGAGTGAATGTCCAGTTCTAACGAAACGCGAAGTGACGTTTTGAAAAATAGTAGTCCATCAGATGTTAGTGCTTGAACCTCTTAGTTGTAGATAAATATTCATTTAAAACAAGAATTTCCTCCATTAATTTAGCTGTGTTGCCCGTGATGTATCAACAATCATAAAGTAATTGTCGAAACCAAAAACCCGTAATAGAAATTACTCAGATTTTAATGAAGCAAGAAATTACTACACAAACATGATCATCTAATTTGTTAAGTGTGTAGCTACAGTCTTCGCTAAGTTTGCGTTTAGCTTACAAGTATGGGAGCAATAAATAAATTTATTTGGAGGACCGAAAAAATGAAAATATGAGCTGATGACTCGGCAAGAACATAGAATGCGCTAACATTTATTCAAGAGCTACAAATAACTATCAGAAATAACACAAGCATGATATTTAACAACAAAGGTTGGCAGCGGCAGGTTTTAAATTCGTTACCGAAATCTAATATCCAATATTTTTTCACAAGCGACTAAAACAAACAGATTATTTTGAGCTAACTACTCGTTCTTTCAATACGGTTCCAAGTGTTTGACATCATCCAACAGATGGAGGCCTGTTGGAAGTTGTTTGTGAGTTTGTATGTGCCGTGATTTGAATGAACACCTTTGTTTCAAGGCAGTAGGGCTTTTGGATACCAGCAGCTATCGCATTACCAGTCCGAAGACCAGTTAGTTGCAATGTGGAGAATAATAAGGAGAAAATTCTGATGCTAATAAGAATAAGATTTGAGGAGTAAGTAGACAAATGTATAATTTAGTTTATCAGTTGCTAGTGAAGGTTTTGCGAGAGGACCGAAGTGTAAAAAAGGGTTGGGATAAAGAGGTCATTGCAGTTTGAACTGTCTCCCTACCGTCACTCCAGGTTGGCCGTTACTTTTACATTCATGGATATCGTCTGGTTGCAAGTCACAAGCCACAACACTTCGTCTAAACATTGCGGATGGCTCTCTCATTCCCACCTACGGCCAATCACAGCTAACAATCAGACTGAATAATCGACGGCAGTATCTATGGACGTTCATCCCTGTTGATGTTCCCATAGTCGTACTCGGTATCGATTCCATACAGCTCTATCAACTGCTACTCGATTCACCTAGGCTGCGTTAATCGATACTTCGTCGAATATCGAACCGATGGGTTTTAACGCGTAAACAGATATGTACCGAATCACCAATATTTAATTTTTTGCATTATTATTTTTTCCATATTATATTAGATAAATTTCCAAAAGTAATTAGCCTGAGGAGATTGGGTCGATGATTTATTATGTGGCAAGTCACATCTTCGCTTCCGAACCACCAGTCACGCCAAAACCTCGTCGACTGGCACTGAACAAATTAGTTTACGCTAAGTGTGAGTTTGACTGTTTACTTGATTTATATGCTATTTCGTCTTTCTCCAAGTCCTTGGGACTCCCCTCTCCACACGGTTTGCTAAAAAATAGCATTAGTTGGAGACCATGCAGCGATTACAGAGTAGTAATGGCAAATATTCAATGTTCCTCCTCTGAAATTGTATACGGCACGATATTGCATCTGTCCGGGGAATCCTTCACACCACGGAGCAGCGATTTCATGTATATCAGATAGCGTCCTAAGACTATGTGCGTACGTGCGAAAAGTGCCTCCGGTGTCATCTCGAATACAGCATCGACAGGTAGTTCTTTCTCCAGAGTTATTTACGTGTCCATATGTTTTCATACGAGTAGATTCGGTACGTAAAGCACAGTAACAGCCTTACGGGAGATATTTTTACGTTATATTTGCTCACGTAAAAACCTCCAAGGTTGTTTGACTCAAACAGCATTGACCGTCTCAAACCAGCACGCCTCGTTGACAGTGCCCTACCCGAAAAATTGAGATTCAATTCTAGACCTGTTCAGCTCACTAACCGGATACCTGTCTCCTTTGGACCACATGCTAGATACCTCATACACCTCATTCTCACTTCTCAGTCAACAGCACGTGTCATCTGCACTATCAACGGTTGAGATATCAGTCGGACGTCCAGATCAACAGACCACACCGCCCTTGCCTCCGGATGATATTGCAGTCTCAAGCTCTAAATCATGATGCACGAACGAGACTAATTTCTCACGTTTCTGTCGCTAGGTACATGTACTTGCATGCTTTCGCGTCTAGCCTCAGTAAACAACCTATATCGTTTAGGATTATACCCTTTACTACATGCTTGCTACACCTTTTTTTGATTTCTTCCCCTAAACTGACCTTACGCCTACGACCAACGCTCTCGTGAAACTGTCGACTTCAATCTTGGCCACAGCTGGCCTGATCACCCTCACTCGTGTCGATGCACTCAGTCAGTGTCCTGGTTCCCACTATGTCTGACACACGTATGACCTCGAATTTGATTATTATAGTCGCTCCTAGTCTTCATACTCAACGAGGCCTAGTTCTTTGTCTTCAGAGTTTGCTGGTCCGGACCATGACGAACGCAAACCAGAGTCCGAAACATGGCGCATTACCCCTGGTTTCGATATCCGTAAAAGACATTCGGTGACAACTACAGCATCTTCGATCTCTTCCAGTTCACTAACCATTCCGTCCTGCAATGTCGCGCTTACCAACCAGTCTCACAAACGAAACCGCTACATGTAGAGTGTGTAAACACTTTATAACAGGGGCCGGTGTTACTCGTGCACGTAAAAACGTCACTTGATGGGCTTAAACTATTACGAGTTAACCTTAGTGGGAAAACGAGAGTGAGGATCGAGGATCTGGAGACACGACAGGCTGCCCTAATCCGAGTGTTCCAACCCCTCATTGAGCAAAACAAGAAAACTTGATATGAAGTAGAACATGTATTCTACAACCATCCAGATAGTACCAAGTCCGAGTCCAGAAGAAGGCAAGGATCCGGGTCCGAGTCATAAAACTGTAGAGATAATTCATAATTATACAGTTAGGTCGAATAGGGAACACTGACAGTTGGGACGACATGTGAAGTCACAGTGATAGTCTGACCGATAGAATTAGACTAACAACCAATAATCTCAGGATTTCGGACGAATATCCTAAAAGGCCACTGTAGTGACTTCAATTTTACGAAGAGAACGCGACTGGTTTGATAGAAACATTCATTATTATAACGGACTGTTCAACTGATTGTTTCGCTGAACCTTTTGTTTGTTCCTACTATGAAAGCGCAAACAGGTGCTGCTGTTCGCCATAATTTTGGCCATCTTTTCTTATTCGGTATTCCTTCAATACTAGGAAATCGCCAGAAAATATATTCCGTTGCACGGATTAACTCTTCTGCTCTGTCTTTGATTCACGGAGATATTGCCTTTAATGATGGGAACGTAATTGGTCTGTAATAGTGTTTATAGTAAATATCGACTCGCAACCACTACAACAGTAGAGTGAAATGTAGAATAAGTTTATTTGGCTCACCAGCATCAGTAACCACCTTTTGTAAGAAAGAACAGACTGGCTTCTATCTGTGGAATAACTTGAGAAAAATTGATGCTGGTCGACAGTGCAGCCACTATAGGAAGCACTAAACCGCATCAAGAGGGAGTATCCTACTCAGAATCCTGAAGGCCGAAGGAAAAGAGATAGACCAAGGAACACAATGCGTTAACACTTTGAAATAGACATGAAAAAAATGAATAGCGATTGGTTAGAAGTGAAAAGGAAGACCCAGGACAGAATCGACTGGAGAATACTGGTCAGCAACCTGCTTTCCATTGTAGGTGACAGGCGTAAGTAAGTCAGTAATCTTCTTGATGTTGTTTTGATAGTTCTCAAAGTTTCCAGTTCATACTATAAAACTGTCTCGACATTTGTACTGAAAATTCTGACTTTGTTGTTGGTTGGTAGTTCTAACCAGTTCCAGATATTCTCAAATTGAAGAAATGATTCCATAGTTTTGATAATATGTGTCTTCGCGTCTGCAACAGATTCAAATAACTCATCAACGATGTTGCCCAGATTTGCAAAAATTTTCAGTGTGTCATGAGCCTCCCTCCAGATGTTGACGTCCTCATATTCCAGTCGATAACCAGGTAAGGGTACACAATTGATCTTCACCCAATCCAGCTATCTGATTCCAAAGTTTGATGTCTTTGAGCTTGCCAGTACCTCGAAGAAAGGGCACATTAAGATTTTGTGATGCTGTTCTCTCAGTTGTCCTGTGCTGTCTGAGTTTCAGTATCATTCCCGTCACCACCAGATGAAGATCGGAATTTCTCCAATGCTCTCTTGATTATCACGTATTCCATGGTCCTTCATAACATTTTGTTGATGCAGACATGGTTGGCTTTTCGTGATTTGGGTTTTTACGTAATGAGGTCGCTATCCGGGTGCCCAAACCTCTTTCGTTCCGGAATAGGTAATGGCAGTAAAGCCAGAGTTGCTTCAGGTGGAGGTGAGAATTATTTTATGAGTGACTGGATGAACGAGTTGTCGAAAATAGATAATAAATGAGCGAAGAGCATTTTTCTGTCTATAAAAATCATGGGTGGGTTTACAAAACTATCACTGACTATAAAATTATATTTACTCTTGCAGCTCGCCTTTAACTCGATAAGTGCAGGTTCGTACGCGTCCCACACAGTCCAAGTCCAAAAACGATCATTCTGGGAGAGAACGGTTCTATTTTTATTCAAAAAGGGAAATACAGACAATTACCAAAACAATATTACACCTTCGAGTTTCCAATTACCACAATGGGTTCCGTTGCTGGAAGAATAAGTGCTTCCAGTCCGTTACTGCTACAGTATCAAATCCAAAAATGGCTGTAGCCATATTAAGTATCGAATTTAAACAACATATGTACAGTTCAGAAGGAAACATGGAAACTTCAATATAAGTACAAGATATAGAAATGATAACAATATACAAACGATAAAATCTCAAAATGGAATCAAATAAAGTACCAAAATATCAAACAGAAAGAGTCGGTCATGACTAGCAAAGGAAATAGTAGTCATCGGAATCTTATTAGTGACCACGATAGTAAGGAGACAGAAACTGTGAGCTGTCCACTTATAGTGACTAGTCGATCAGCTTCATCGAACGAGCCTTCTAGTGTTTTGACGTCATCGGACCTTGTCGCGAATGTTAAGTTGATTGAGGATACACAAGGTTGTGTAACTGTAAGTGTTCCTACTTCGGTTGACTGTCAGTCAAGTGATGATGAGAAGGAAGCGTCTGATGGTAACAGCCAGTCTACAGTGTTGCATGATAACGATGCTATTGACGTGCATATGTCGTGTGTCTCTGAAACGGAACATGAAGAACAACAAGTGAGTTTATCGGTGTTGGATTGTGACACTTATGCTGTTCTTTCATGAAGAGAGATCAGTTATACAACAACGGAAGAGTTTCACTCTACGGATGCTAGTGCAGACCGAAACCTGTCTGACACAATGGAATCATGATGATGATGATAATAATCTGGATGTCACTGA